CTTCTTTCTTTCCCTGTATGTATGTATGTTTGATGTTTTAGGTGCTTAGACCTGACAAGAACCAACCATGCATGGATTGTAGAGCTCAGATTTAACATAGAAATGCTGTTTATCAGACGATTGCTTGTGACTGACCTACCTGGATCTGCCCATAGATCTACAAAGTCATGAGGAGGCGGCAGTTTGTGAGAAACAAGAGGAGCAGGCGCTGCCACAGGACGCTGGTAGGATTCAACCAGAACCAGCCGGAAGATTCTGGAACAAGAGATCAGAAAGTGATTCTGTTATGTTCAGGTATGGAGGCAGCTGAGGGTTCCTTTCTGCCTGGGAACCAGTCTGAGGAGGAGGAGGATGAAGAGCCTGCGATAATCTCTGAACTGATCCAAACAGACGTGAAGGACCCAGTATATCAAATACCATCAAGGTAACAGATCAACAACCTGTCATATTCAGTCATGCTTTCATCATTTACTTAGGTGTGTATTGGGCGAGGCTAAATATGGTTTAGCTTCATTATATGGCTCTCATTCACTAAAACTCAACCCTGTAAAACAGAAATTGTGTTTAATGGTTCTTAAGGTTAAAAAACTCAATAGATTCATATTTCTAGTGGATTCATGTGAGTTTTAGTTCTTTGCCTTCCTGCCCCTCCAGGTACCAGATCTGCTTGGGTCAGTGGAGGCTGGTGGACTTTTCTCCAGGGGGGGCTATAAATACAAAATTGAAGTATACCAAAAACCAATCAAACATTTACTAAGTTATCACACCAGTATATTTATATGAATGCCAACAACAAAAAACATGATAAAAACACTTTAGATTTTGCCCTTCTGAGGCTTTGCGAAGGCAAATTTGTGTTTTGCATGATCCGATATCGTGACAAAAACCTAAAACAAATGTAGGAGTTTAACGACGGAGAAGCTATTAGTCAGCTTTATATTCTTCTAATATATAAAAACTGTTTATTTTCTGAGAATGTGTTTATTTAAGAGCAACTATGCAAATTAACAGACACCTAGAGAAAGAACACTATATTGTAGTATTATCCATGTGAATCCCAGATTGTTCATTCTTCTTTGCCTGTTTAAAAACTGCCTCAAATCAGTCCTAGCTGTGTTTATCCATGCTGGATCAGATCCTGACATTTGAAAAAGGAGGCAGGGAAAGCAGAATAAAGCATTAGCCTCGCTACATGCTGCTAGCCAAGCCTTCGTGCTAAACCAGGTTCTGGAAAAGGACGTTTCTTTCTGCCTCTTCCTGTCACCTCAGGGCACATTTTAGCCTCACCCTGAGCTACCTTGGTATTGCAGAGGAGCGACTGCGCATGTAAAACGTATAACGAGAGTTAAAACAGTCTTGCGCCCTTGGCCAGAAATATGTCACCGATCTGACGAAAAGTTTACTCGCTATGAAATATTAGACATCTAAAAAATAAATATCAACATATTTCAAAATATTTGACATTTTACTTTAGAATTAAATTATTTTGTTTAATGTCTTAATCGGGGTCATTGGGTGGGTGGGGCGGCGCTAACTGTGCTCAGTAGCTAACAACTTAGCCTCTTTTAGCTCTGTCAGTTACCTGGATAAAGCTACACTTCTTTTAACTTCGCCGTTCATTTTCTACAAGTAGAATAACTTTTCTTTTCTTGGTCTAAATTCTCCATGAAAGTCACTTTTAAAGATGTTCCTACTGTCGTCCCCTGCCCTCCTATTTTAATTTAAAGAAGCACTGAGACTTTGTGTGTCACCTTCTTAAATGTCAGAGCTCATTCTGTCTTTAAACGCAGTATTTGTCTTCAAGACTTAGAAGGATTGTTTTCTACTTTTGGCTACCTTAGGTCATCAAAGAAACTTAAAATGATGGAAAATATAGGTTATAATATTTTAAATCTCCAGAAGAAATGTTATTTTAAACAAACAGGTGCCATATAGTGATGTCATATAGTGATCTGCTCGGGGTGTACGGCCCCGAGCAGATCTGGTGCCTAAATTCATCAAGTCATCTACTGTTTATAGAGAACCACTGAAAGGTTGCTGAGCTGATTTAAAGAGACACATCCTCCTGTCTCGCACCAGCTGTAGTTTCTAAACAGTCCTGCCATCATGTGTTTGATGGGCGCTGCTTCTCATTTAAATACCAGTTCTGTGAGACATGCAGCCAATCAGAAGGGATCTGTAATCATCTTGCAGGTCAGCTCAGTCTAAAAAAACAAGACGGTGCTCATCTTTAAATATTGACCGCAAAGGGCCTCTAAATCTCCGGATCCGGATCCTGGAGGACTCTGAGACCGAGGTGCTCTCAAATAACGGTAAGTTCTATAAACTTCCTCTCATCAGTCCAGCTCTGGTCCATCTGTTCCAGTTTCTCACACAGGAATGTCGATGCTCTGTTCCAGTGTTTAAGAAGTGTCCGATCTGGGACCTGCAGTGCCCTCATGGTCTGGAGGAGGCGGCCTTTCTGGACCTGCTCAGGTCCACCTTCCCTCAGCTCTCTGCAGGGAAACCTTTTGATACCTTAATAACAGATAGAGGAAGGAAGCTGCAGCCTCTGAGAGTAAAGACTCTGACTCCAGAGGAGATCTACAGAGCCATCAAATCCATCGGGAACTCAGCTCTCTACATCCGCCTCAAGGT